TGTGCTGAATTCCGTATGGGCAGAGAGAGAGAGAGAGAGATCTAACCAACAACTGCATATATATAAACATCGATTAAATGATTAAAAGAATATGATAAATTAACTAGAAGACCGAATATGGACATGAGAGCCAAACTTATTTAAAACGAAAACAGCGTCAGTGATGGAGCAATTTACTCAGAATGTTTACTATTAATTAAATACACACGTAGGTGTTTCCGTCATTACGCAGTAATATTTGCGATTATTTATCATATATTAGTCTGATACATAATTAAATATATACATTTCTCTGAAAACAGACATTAAAATCAATATGTATTGTGTATACAGGAACAATGTAATAATTACATGTTGTGTTGTTATTCTGAATATTATGCTTACGTGTTTAGACCTATGGTACCTGGATTTATACACATACCTACACCCACGGATAATGTTTCGAGTGCATTCAACCCATATGGGGAACAGTGCCAAAGATCCTCTTATAGAAATTTAATGAATAGATCAAGTTACTCCACCTTTTTATCAATAAAAAGGCAAACAATTTTCTATCCATTGTTTGGAATATACATATTATGCCTATATATCAGGCGTTGAAACATTATTACAAGACATGTAGACAGTTGAATACTGTATATGTATTAGGCCAGGTATTGGGTATGTGCGAATTGTAGAGAGTGAAATGAAATGGTGGGGACCGCCTAGCGCTCCAGAGGAGTCCAACACAAGCCATTGTAATGCACAGGTTAAGGATAATTACTTGACGAGTCATGTTAATTTGCGTATGGTGGAACTCCCTTCTTTTTGACACCTCTATTCAAGGGACTCCCCCGGTTAAGGAGACGCTTTTCCGTGAAAGAAGGGGAAATATATCTTTTAACACTACGGCCAACCCCCATTAAATGGATACCCCTATTACGGGGACGGGACACTTTCTGAGTGTGCAAAAATGGTCAAATAAATACACATTTAACCCCAGATAAGGGGACACTTATTTTCCTAATAATTTTCGAAACAACTTAGGAAGTCTCAAAATAAGAAAATAATATTCAACATATATTTTGACACCAGTTGAGCAATAAGCTTAACATCAAACCAGATTTTTCCTCTCAATCTTGTCAATTTTGATCATCAACCATAAGGATTTCTTGTTTTGTGTATTTCAAGTTGTTACTTTATTCATGTTTTATCTTGTGCACCCAACACAGAAAGCTCAGTGTTAAAAAAAAGAATATTTGGTCATTAACACTGCACTCAATTTATGAACCTTTATCGGGAATATATATATAACCTTTGTTGTTTTAAAGAACAATATTTTGCATTGCAAACTATTGTTATAATTTAGTTATAATTCAGCTGTATCTCATTCTTAGGTCAATTAGAAATAAACTTATAAAGAATCTATTTCATAATTGTACGAAAACATGCCAAAACCCTACTAAGGGGACAATTTCACGTGTTTGATAATTTCACGTGTCCTGAAGGTGTCCTTTTAGTAGGGATTAAGCTGTATATCATAATTCCGGTTTGTAAATTTTCAATGATAATTCAACAGGAGGTCCCGAGTCTACTCTCAGATATATATGTCCATTTGTCTAGACAACCAATAATCTGTCTGTATTGTTTTTGACGTTTCATTGTAGGGGTTCGAACCAAGGGTCGACTAGAGCCCAGTGGAGTATCTAGGAATCTCAAAATGGGGGGGGGTGAAGTGAGGGGGACTCGATGATGAAGTGAGGGGTACTAGCTTGCAAAATAAGGTAAAATGAGGTGATGTTTGTGCTTCGAACATTTCCAAAGGGGAGGGGTGACTGGTGGGCGGTGACGGGAAGGGGATGGGGAAAGTTAACAGGGTAAACATCCCTGGTTATGGGGAGAGTGTTTATACTTAGTATTGGGTCACAATATGGATTGGCAATCAAAATAACGTTATTAAGTAAATTATTATTTTTGTTCCGCCGATCTCGTCGTCGCGTCGGACAACGGGGATCCATGTCTGTCCGACCAGGGACATGCCTCTTTGATCCCCAACCCCACCCTGTAGGCGCCACTATAATTGTGGATGGGTATGTAACGAAATAATCGAGAACAACCCCGGGAAAAACTAATAAGATACACAAAAACTGTGGAAACTGAAGGGCGTTCCTATCAATTTTTTTACAAAATATAAAAAAATATTTCCTCTACTGGTTAAAACGCACGCAAATGTTGTAACAATTTGTCGCCCATGGGAGTAAAAGTAGCTACGCCTAGTATCACCTATTATCATGAGAATTGTATTATTTATTATACATTAGTACTAAAAGTTCACGCAAACGTACTATTTGTGTCGTTCCATTGTGATTGAACCTATACACAATACTAATACAAACAAGACGCCCATTATTGTAGGCTACTTCATGAGTTTGCTGCAATCAGTTAGGCTGATTAAGTCCTTATAAGGACAAAATATTCGTTAAAAGTTGTATGTTTTCACTAAATAGTTATGCCTAAGCATATTCTATTAATAACTTCATTATATTTCTTTTTCCGCTTTACTGAGAGTTGTACACTAACGTGACTTTTTAATTATTGAAACTATTTAATCGCAATACTTAATCAAAATATCTCACTGTTGTGTACATTCCTGATGATGACATAAATAATGTCGAAATATTGAATCCCAACACGATGGCGTGTATTTCAATACTTGGAGTATGTATTATACTTTCTTGTTGTGTACACTGCCATAAATAATTAGCTCATTGCAGTGTGAGTTAGGAAAGCCTTATACTGTAAGGACAAAATCTTTGTCTGAATAAGTTATATATGTTTTTAATTCGTCACCCCTGCCTTTTATTTATTTATTTTTTTCAAAGTATATTGTAAAGGTGGTCCGTCCAGGCAGAGCTGATCAATTGGGATTGTTTGTCTGTATACATTCATTACCATATTAGGTCGGTTATAACATAATTATTTTGACAACCGCAATACACCCTAGAAGTGACAGAAGGACGTGTTCGGGCAGGGGAGGATGTTTGAACTGACCTATTCAGGCTTAGGGTTAGGGGAATACTAAGGTCAGCGAAGTCTGGGATCGAACCCCTTTGGTGGAATCTCTGGTAGGCTATAATTGAAATTAAAAAACAAAAATCTTAATCAGGGGTGGCGCCAGGATTTGCCCGACGAGGGGTCAGATTTCCCCGACGAAAGCAATGTGGGTGTGGTCGAGCTTCGATTAAAAGGTTTCGAAAGTGGTCCAAGGGGCGAAGTCCCCAAAAATGTTAACAATTTAGGGGTTTCAAAGGCTTACTTAATCGATTTTAGAGTCTACTAATATGTAGAAAATACATATAATTTCTCCCCGACGGGGGGTGGAGGGTGGGGGAGAGAGCACTCCCCGACAGGTCTTTTGGTAAATTGATGTGGCCGTGGCGAATATACCCAGGGATTGGCATGTACCCTTGAAAGCCGATTGATTGATTTGATAATATATTTTATTATATCAAATGTTGATAATTATATCTTAGTTGTTGTTATTATTATTATTATTATTATTATTATTATTATTATTATTATTATTATTATTATTATTTTATATTTAATTTTTTTTTTAATGTGGCACCTATCTAGTAGGCCTACTAGCAGCTCAATTATATTTGTTTAACACAGTATGTATTTGGGCGTACAATACCGTACAAAAACACGATATTCACAGAAAAGCAACAAAGAACGAAGAAAGAAAAACCAGACTGTTAAAAATAATCTTCATAAAACAAATCATTGCACTAACGTAACACCCTCTACCAACAATTTTAGATGAGTCGGTTAAACATACATCTACCTGGCGTATCAATACAATGAAAGTAATTGCGTGGGCCGTTGATTAAAATATAAATTAACTGGGCGTAGGCCTACAATATTCAAAACACATGCATAAAAAAAGACGGAAAAAACAAACTGTTAAAATAATCCTCATAAAGCTAATCATTGCACTATTACACAGAATTGTACACCCTCATACCAACAAACTAAGATACATAATGTCCCATACCAAACCTTTATTTTACAAATTTAATGTTCTAAATGTATTTGATTTGCATAAATTACAAAACTATGTTTTTATGTATCGCTTTAGAAATGAAAAATTACCCCCACATATTCATAATCTATTTCCAAAACAACAGGCTGATATACATGACCATAATACTAGATTTGCTAAAAGTAACGTTTTATTTGAAAAATATACATCCTCTTCTAGAAAAAAATCCATATTTTACACTAGTCCAAAATTATGGAATTCCTTAAAAACTTCCTTTAAATCCTTACCTAATATCAACTCTTTTAAATACAACCTTAAAAAGTCTCTGGTCTCGGAGTATGGCCGGTAAGTCTCCTGGTNNNNTTGAAAGTATACATATACGTATATATATACATATATACCTGTCTCTTATACACATCTAGATGTGTATAAGAGACAGATATTTATACTGTACATAGAGGCATATGGAGTAAAAAATATACAGAATGGGATGTTCGTCTTATAGAGAATTTTGTCCTGGGTATGACGTTAAAATGCATCCACTCGAATCGCCTGCCAATAACTGGTAGCCCCATCTAGGGCCTTAGCGGCCTTTAGGTGGGAGGGTGAATGGTCACCCAGCAGCAATAAGAAAAATAGCTGAACAAAAGGCGGATGAACTCTCTTAAGGATTAGCTAAGTATTACTCTTTTTGTATTCTTATTTATGTTAAGCGCATAGAGGTCTCTATGATATGCGCTCTATAAGACGTCCATTATTATTATTATTATTATTATTGTTGTTGTTGTTGTTGTTGTTGTTGTTGTTGCTGTTGCTGTTGCTGTTGCTGTTGCTGTTGCTGTTGCTGTTGCTGTTGCTGTTGCTGTTGCTGTTGTTGTTGTTGTTGTTGTTGTTGTTGTTGTTGTTGTTGTTGTTGTTGTTATTATTATTATTATGGAGAATTTTAATCCAAAATTAATTTTCTCATCCCAGGTTACATTCCGAATGGCGTTGAAAATAGCCATTATAATCTTATTGCTCAACTGTCTTGAAGATAGAATATTAGTAATCAGCGCATGTGGAGAATATCGATTTCTGGAAGACGGGGTCTGTAAGGAATGCAGCTTTTGCAGTGGCGATCAAGTGGAACTTGTTACCTGCTCCCGGAGTAGCGATCGGATATGTGGCGATGCTGAGCAAGTACAACCTAGACCCGAACTTACAATTTCCACAAACAGTCCTCCTAAACCTGTATTAACAACCACGCCCCTATACATCAAAAGCAATGGGTACACCCAGACAAAGAACTCGAAAAGCAGACTTATAACGGTCTCTTCTACGTCCTCCATATCCGACAGAACCATTGAATTTATCCCAATACAAACTAGAAAAAGTACCTCATTCAATGACGATTATGTTGACAACAATGATGTAAACTTATTAAACAATGACGACTGGTGGAAAATATTTTCCTCTGGCCTGATATCTACCGTACTAATATGTTGTATTGCCATTTTACTGTGTAATATCTGTCGGCGAGAGCAGAACATAAGGACTATGGAAGTTGACCAGGTGAAAGGGATGGAGTATTACAACAGTAGTAGTAGTAGTCGTCAGCGTTCGTATGCCGAAGGTAGGTTCCGATTTCTAGTATTACTACGGTCATATGTCTTGTAACATCATTTTTGTATCTACTGTCTCCATGTCCTTTATATTTTAAACGTTTACACGTTTGTACTCATCTGTTAGGCGATACCTTGTTTATAACTTTTTTATCTCCAAATATATAAAGGTGATTTCGAATAAACATAAAATTTAATTTTGGCCAATTACCGCACCCTCCGCCACGAAACGAAAGAACGAAATTTATTTTTTTACGCCCTCCACTCCCATGAAATAATAAGATGACTAATGATATATCTTATTTCTAAAAATGTAAATTCTTTTCACGACAGACACTTTATCAGGCCTTAGTGACGAGAGTTTGTCAAGTGTGCTGCCATGTCGACGGTATTCCCCAGATGACGTGTACGGATCTAAACTGCCGTTCATACCATCAATGATCACCATTGATCAAATTGACACACTGGAAGAATTCGACTATGACCAGTCCGACGGTAAATATATAGGAAGTGTATGAACAGCTCAGTTTTTGCGGCTATCTTTATACTCCAGTACCGTATCAAGGATATCATGGGTGAGGGAGGGGAAGGTGGTTTACTGGGGGAGGGGGATTGATGAATAAGTGAGGAAGAGATAGCTGGCAAAATTGGTGATATGAAATGGTTTTTATCTACTTGAACGCATTTTCTTTGGACAGAAAATCCAGGGATAGATCCAGAGATTTCCGAAAGGGGAGGATTGGTGAAAGGCGGTCGAAACTGGCGCCGATCGAGATAACACCAGCCTAGGGGGTCCGCGGGCATTCCCCCGCGAAATTTTTGTTTTGTAGATGCCTGAAAATAACCTCTGTGCGTTTTGGGCGATCAGTTTTTTTTCTTTCCTTCCCCTTTTTTTTTTAACTTTCCAAAAGTGGGAGGCGGGGGGGGGGGCTCTAAATTCCCCCTGAAATTTCCAATTGGGGCACCTAGAAGAGTGAAAGCTTTTTTTTTTTTTTTTTGAAGGGGCATGGGTCCCCACACCATCTTGTAGATACGCCACTGATATAATACCTTTGCTACTTCTCTGGTACCGGTAGGCTTCACACTGCACTAGCATCTGCTTTTTCCAAGGATTAGAATTGCAGGATAGAGGACACCGACATTTCGCCACGTACTATTCATAATACCTTAAAAGTTAAATTTGGGACCCCTAAGAGTATTTCTTTGGTGAAAATTTACAAATCCACTGATTTGATTTCAATGAAGTTACATTTCGTTCCATATTGCAACTTCCAGCTAAATATATAGGAATACGCCTACATTGTATTATTATTTTATTATTGTTTTTTGATGTATGATGATCGGCGGCGGTCCGGCAATTTCCCTGACGAGTGGGTGGGGCGAATGACCACGTTTAGAACCCCTCGGAGGGTTCCAGAGCGTGAAGCCCATTAAGCTCCAGTTTGGGAATTGAAAGGTTATCAATCGATTTTAGAGCCTCGTACTCTGTAATAATTAATATTGGTTCCCTTATCCACCAGGGGTGGCGCCAGCGGGGTGGGGGAAGGCCCCCGTCGGGGAGAAAAAGCACAGTTCGTCGGGGAGAAACAAAATTATATGTATTTTCTACATATTAGCTTACTCTAAAATTTATTAAATAAGCCTTGAACCCCTAAATTGTCAAAATTTTCGGGTGCTTAGCCCCCTGCACCAATTTCTGAACCTTTCAATCGAAGCTCAACCACGCCCACATCCCCCCCCCCCGTTGGGGACCTCGGCTTCCCCCTCCTGGCTCTACCCCTGTTCTCCACCAATTGTATTGAGCTCTCTGACGCGATAGGGAGGGTGAATTCTTTCACCAACGTGGAAGAAGCTCCCATTGCCTACCACTGATTGTAACTCACGCCAATTAAAAACAAATCTCGAATAGAGATCAAGGGTTTTAATTTAGGTTTCTTTAAGGTTTATATTAGGATGCGTACCCACCCCTACACCCATAAAGGTTCATTTTTAAAACAGTCAGAATTGTACTCAATATAAAATATAGTCCAACTCTGTTATGTTAGATGATGCTGTGTAATAGGGGAGTTCCCCGGGGCCCTGTGGACCATGGAGCCCATAGCTAGGCGTGTGTGTATATTACTTTCACGGATTACGAGGCTGAAATTGATTAACTGCTTTTGGAATCATTAAATACTTCAATTCAACCCTACCCGACTTTTCCCCTTTACGACGCCGCCGTGAATTCTGGGGCTAGGCAACCTAGTTCCATAATCTGTCCATTTTTTAACGCCCCGCACCCGATGGTAGTTCTGGATACGGCTCTGTATTAGGCATTATCGTAAGTGAGTTACTATGAGCACTGCGTATATTAAGATATGTAGTACCATGAAATAGAACTTGCTATTTACAAAGTCATATGTTATATTCATATTTGATTATATTATTGTTCGTATTAATTTAGGACTATACTGAATTTGATCTGTTTGAGAATATGTATTTATTTTGTCTATTTATTATTGCCAATGACTTTCATATAAAGGAATCAGAACAATACACCTCTAACTATTAGGCCCACTATTATTTACTATATGTTTATATTATAATAAGTGAGTTACTATGAGCACTGCACATATTAAAATATGTAAAGTACGATGAAATAGAACTTGCTACTTACAACACAAATTCATATAAATATTTATATTTGATTGTATTTTTGTTCGTATTAATTTAGTGCTATACTGAATTTGATCTGTTTGAGGATATGAATTTACTTTAGTCTATTTATTATTGCCAATGATTTTCATAATAAAGGAATTAGAACAATACACCACTAACTATTACCATATTTTCCAGGTACAGAATTTGTTATCACCTTCGCTGAATTAACTATTTGTTTACTAAAAGTTAAAATTACGACCAAATAGTGCATATTGATAAGTTGTAAATTTGTCACATAAAACGTCATGTCAAAATATCGATTAATGTTGCATTATGACGACGGCGGGATAAATAGCCCTATTCACAACCGCATGAATTATATGGTGCACGCTAAAAGGTACACAACTTCGATGAGTATTTGCGTAGTTCTTTGGAGGTATGTGCAATGTCAATATATAACATATACAAGTATTAGGCCTATATACAGGATTTTGTAAGTATTGTTGTAGAAACTTAACATAATAAACAGATGTTGATGCTTAAGACTTTCTATTTCAATTCAAGAACACATTGTCTAATACCACCTAACCTAAATATCTGTTGCGGTTGTATTTCTATTGTGCAATACTGGTATTAATTCATACGAAGCGCGATTTCAGCAAAGAAAACCGTCACTAGCAGTTCCCCAAAACAACGAATAAAGAAATCAAAAGTCCAGATGGCAATCCAAGTATCTAAATATATTTCACTGTTACAATCAGTCAAGCCACGTTGACCTTTCAAATTCATTTCAAACAGGTTGCGATGTACAAACAAATAATTTAAGTCGTTCCTACATAATTGCACTTATTGTGGTTTTAAACACACTCAGCCTCTTTCTATAATACACTTTCTTAGAATAACTAAAAGATAAATTTAATGACTTAATATGTACACCTGCAAAGGATAATGCACCTACAGCATATAAACGAAAATGTACATTATTTTTTTTTTCACACCAATCCGAGCCCTATCGGACAGAATGCTAGATCATGAGTTAAAATGATAACAATACAGTAGTAGTATAGCAGCACGCGACTTTATTGTCTAACTTTATTTACAGGTCCAAATAACACAACTGCTATTGAGTTAATTGAAGAAAAAAACCAAAACAAAAAAAAACTTAGCTGGGCTGGCAGTGAACTTGACTCAATTAACTGTATTTCTGGCTTTTAATTTGGAGCGTTTAACAATGAGTGGGGGCATTCACAGTCGCACACAGAATTGTGCCCCAATTCTGGATCTAACTATACAATCCAAAGTACTTTGTGAGAACATGTAAAGCTTTTGTTTTGATCCATCCATAAGATTTTTTTTAAGACCGCATATTTGGGGAGTTGGTGGGAGCACATTTAAACGCAAGGAGGTCGTCAAGAAAGCGTACACCAGTCTGTTGTCAAAACGATTACATCTTAGAACTTATCACGAGTAACTACGACGAGACCAAATATATATATAAAAACAAATATTCACAAGGTAAAAAAATTCAAATATACAATAATCGTTAAAACATGTTGACCTACATAAATGCATTTAGGAAGCATATAAATATGGGGACCTCTTGTTGAATATACAGTAGTTCGACCCTCCACATTTGTAACAGCTTAGGTCTGGGATAGTAGATGTGAATTGTAGAGTCGTTATGTCCTAAGTAATTTTAATTGTCCAAATACAAATTTCTTGTTAAGTATAAATTTAGAAATATAAATTGTCCAAACTGCTTAGCTTTGACTCGAGTATCAAAGTCAAGTTAACATACAGTACTGACCAAAATTCTCCTCGTCGGATTCATACTGTAAACACAGCTATTCACGCTCAGACACTAGTACACTTAAGTATAACAAAGTGTAGATTATGTAATAAAGATTAAATTAAAACAATCTATTGCTCACTTAATGATAAATGCAGCCACTGACCCTATATACATAAAGGTCTGTGATACAGCGCACTGTCCAATTCGAGACCCCTCTAATTCGAGGCCACTTTTTTTTTTAAAGAGCCAAATAACAATCTTTAAACATGAAGCTAACCCTCTAATTGGAGACCAAACCTGGAGACGACCCCACATTATTGTTGGTCTCCAAGGTGGTCGAGAATTGGAAGGTGAACTGTAATGAACTATCAAATAGACAAACATACTGAAACAAATTATATTTCCACTAATTCACAAATTTTTTACTAAAAGTATTCTTTAAAAAATGAATACCAGTCAATTTACGGGTTTTAAGCATAATGTTAATTAGCGAGAAAACTAGTTTGTTTTTTTTTGTTCATTCTTTCAATTGACATCTATAAACTTGTACTGTACAAAGTAGGAAATTCAAATACTGAATTGTATTGTTTAATCAATTGCATTAGCTGATCTGAGTATTGCACACATAATATGTGTTGTGTCGGTCCCTTTTATCGTGAATGTAAATTTTTTTAACACTAGGTTTGAAGATGCTATATGTGTGGGTGGAATACATAAAACATGAATATAAGTGTATTTCATTTATGTGACAGAATGAAAGATTTAAAATTATATAAGTTCACATAGGCATTCTGCTATAAAGCCATCTTTTAGTCACCAAATATAATCAGCTTTACACTTTTAATCCAATCCAATAATACAGCATTCTTGTTTGCATTTCAGAATTTTATACAGTACACCCTCCAATTTGAGACTCTTCTAATTCGAGACAACTTTTTCAAAGAACCACATAACAATCGCCAACCTTTTAAAACAAGGCTAAACCTTAAAGTGGAGACCAAACCTCTTAGTCCACCCCAAATTTCCTGGTCCCAATATGGTCTCGAATTCGAGGGCGAATTGTAGTTAAAAGCCATGTTTGGATTGGACTTTATTTGGTCAAACTAATAATATATCTGACCAAACTGACCAAAAGTAATGTAAACCAGCTGGGTATGTAAGCATGGCCGATTTGAGAATAGTGAGCATGTAGTTTGAACTTTCGAAAAACATGAGGGTTCCTACCCTTTATTGATGACATTCGACAGCCATGTACGCTTGAAACTACAAGATGGCTCATTGGTAAGTGTCCAAACCCATTGCTCTAAATTGGTGTCAAATATGCTCTCTTTTGACCACACCCACAGCAAAACCTTGCATCCATCATAGGATACATGGTGCCACAGCTGTAGCAGAATGGAGCCGGCGTCCCTGTTGACCCATCGACTGATGCCAGTGTACTTGGGCTAGAGTATGACCCGGGGACCTCATGACCTCCAGAATGTTGTCCTCTTGGGGATGTTGGCGGACGAGGGGAGAGGGAGATTCCATTTGGCATTTGTGGTTGTAGTAGTTTAGGATTTGATTTACTTCTAGGACTTCGTCCTCTTGGACTGGTGGATGTCATGGCACCATTTCTACCGCCATTCAGATCTAAAGAGGTTGTTCTTAAAAAGCATGAAAAAAAGAATTATACAGGTATTCAAAACTTTAACACTCTAAATCGGTAGGTTGAAGAGTGCTTCTTAAAATTATTACTATTATTACCAACATTTTTATTACTATTAATCTATAT